AGTGTTCAGACACTACTCATGACAGTATTGAGCCTTTTTTTCATCACATGATCGCACTTTTTCTGCACCCGCTTTTTGACTTCACCGCCCCAGTCTCCCTACTCCGGTGATCAAATGAGCAAGCGAGCAAACGTCGCTGCACCATGCTTGAGCTGCAGCAACAAGCACAAGACCACGTGGCTGGCTTGCAGGCACACGTGCGCACGAGCACACTGCACTGTGCGCACTTCTACTTGCCTGCAGGCACGCTGCGCTGAAGCAAGAAGGAGCAAACCAAAGTGCAGCAAGGATGGATTCGTTTCCATGTGATTGAACAAGAGACAAGCAAGCATGCAGAGAACGACGAGGAGCAGCGCAAGGGACACGCGTACACGTGTGTATGCATGCGTTTGTGTGTAGATGTTGCCTGCAGGCACGGGGACGTGTTTCTGATTAAAGCGGATTGGATGAGTAGCAATCCTCTGCTCACTGCAAGCACACTTGCATGCGATTGTGCAGTGCTGTTGGGTTACTCACAACCACTCACAACTTCTCCTACTTGCATTTGATTCACTCCACAGCGATCTCTCTACTCACTGCTGTGTTACTCACAACCACTCACAACTTCTCCCGTTCACTCCACTACATCCTTCTACTCACTCGCAAACACTCACAACTTCCCTGCTTGCAGTGGATTCACTCCACTACACCCGTCTACTCACTCACAAGCACTCACAACTTCTCCTGCTTGCATTGGATTCACTCCACTACATCCCTCTACTCACTCGCAAGCACTCACAACATCTCCTGCTTGCATTGGATTCACTCTACAACATCTGTCAACTCACTGCTGTGTTACTCGCAGGCACTCACAACATCTCCTGCTTGCATTGGATTCACTCCACTCCATCCGTCTACTCACTGTTGTGTTACTTGCAAACACTCACAACTTCTCCTGCTTGTTTGGATTCACTCCACTACGTCCGTCTACTCGCTGCAGACGCTTCATGCGTACGCTTGCTTGCTCTGTGCGTGTTGCTTGCAAGCACCCACAACTTTCCTTGCTTCCACCTTGTTCACTTCACAACACTCCTCCACTCACTCCCCACTGTTCCACAGCATCACCCATCATGCACGCACCTGCAACCGACCCTTTATCAATCCACACCATCACTCACACACCGCTCTGTCACCCCCCTCACCACTTCACTCCACGCCGCTCCACTTCACCCAGCAGAATCGCCTCGATCCTTGGATTCACGCTCCAACATGACCTGCGCTTCCTCTCTCGCCTCCAGCAGCGATATGATCAGGTGTGTAAGAAGCTTGCTGCAATCGTCTTCTCCTCTTCCCCCTCCACCTTCTCTCTACGTGCACGCGTGCTACAATATTTCTGCTTCTGCTTCCTTTGCTCCACCTCCACAATCACAACACAACACACACACACACGCACACACACAGAGCTATGCAAATGCTGCTTCGTCCCTTTGTCCCACCCTTAACTCACTTGCGCCTTTCTCTCTTCCCTTTGCCTTTCCACATTCCATGTGTTGCATTGTTGCTTTGCACTTGCTGCCATATGCTTCATTCATCCTTGTCTCTCCCCCTCTCTTCCATCCACTCACCACCACACAGCACCTCTCCACACAACATCACTCGTCCTTCACTTCACTTCACACAACACAGGACCACAACCAACCCACTGTGTGCATTTGTGCTTCCCTTCATCCCCTTCTGTCACCACCTTGTCACCACAAGCCTTGTTTGTCTATTTCACCTGCGTTCCACCACCCTTCCTGTCTTGTTTCAATTCTTGCCACTGCTGTTGCTGTTTCCATGTGCTTGCATGCCTTCCCTTGTCCCTGTTCACTACTTTGTGCCGCCACTCTTTCCCCTTCCCTTGCCCTTCCCTGCCTCGTTCATGTTTCATGCTGCATGTGTTGCACCACGTCGTAAACCCACTAAGCCAACACTGCCGCCTTCTTCACCGTCAGCCCTGTTCACATCCACCACCACCACTACAAGTCGCTGCCATCATCACCCGCTTCATCCTTCTCCCCCACACTCCCACGTTCACAGCAGCTGCTGTCCTCACCGGCATGCAGCACCCACTCCACAGCCACACGCCTAGCTCACCACCAATCCAATCCACATCACAACAACACACACTATGTTGGCTTCACCGCAACCATCCACACCAGCAGCAGCATCACACGATACACACGGCTGCACATGCGTGTTGCATTGTATACTTTCATTACACTTCAGCAACACGACAGCAAGCAAACACACACACGCACGTGGCAAGAATAAGCGAGGAAGCATCCCCATATCAACTGCAAGCAACACACACAAAAAGCGACAGCTGCATGCAGCGTCACACCGCTTCACTCCCCCATCAACCGCCATCATCACCTTCAGCCAATAACAACAACAACAGCAGCAGCAGTGTGCATGCTGTGGCAAGAGAAGAGAAAGGGAAAGGAAAAGGAGGCAAGGAGAGAGAGAGACGTGCACGCTGTCAACAACAACAACACAACACAACACGGCACAGTCAACGCCACCCGCTCACGCTCCCCTCCGTCTCCAACGAGGTGCGTGGTCTATGGCAGCCCCACGTCTTGCTTGCTTGTCCTGTGTCCTTGCTTGCTCGTGTCCTTGCTTGGTTGTGCGTGCCTTGCCATGTGTTCCAACAAACAGCCTGCACTTCCCCTGCACAAGCGTCCATGTGTGTGTGCATGTGCGTGTGGGGATGACGAAGAGGGAAGAGGGAAGGGAGCAGAAGAAGAAGAAGAAAAGGAGAGATGGGAGGTGCGTGAGCACAGACGATGGTGATGGGCGCACACGACGTGGTTGTGGTGAACACACACACACACGCAAGCACAGAAGCAGCAACGCACAACAGACACAACAAACACAATCAGGGGAAACAAGAGCAGCAGCAGTGCTGCAACACACACACACACACATCAAGGGAAGGACATCAGCCAGCCAGCGTCATCCAACACCCCTTGCATCCACTGGTCCATCCATGCAGCAGCGATGGTGGTGGCAGCACAGCAGGAGAGGGAGAGAGGGAGAGAAGGCAGAGTGTGCCCTGTCTGGCTGCCTGTGTGGGAATGTGTGTCTGCACACCCACTCACTGTGTGCCTGTGCGTGTCACCATCAATACACACATGTGTGTGAGACAGAGGGAAGCAAGCAGCCATCACACACACACACACAGTGTGAATCACAAGCAGACACAGCATGAGCGACATGCACACAGTCACAGTCACACAGACGCAAGTGCAACGCACCGTGAGGTGGCATCAGACTGCCTGTCACCATGTGTGTGTGTGCGTGTGTGTGTTCACACACGTGTGTGGGTCGATGCAGCCCATCATCCCTCTCTGTGTGCGTGTGAGCCAAATGCATCCACAGCAGCAGGAGTACGTGTGAGATCACAACACCCACCGCAGCCACGTCCCACCTCTCCATCCTTCACACAAGCACAAACACACACGCACCCACACAGCAGTCAAACCAATTGATAGAACCCACCCAGACTCACGGTGCCAGCGTGCCATGAGCCTGTGCAGCACATATGTCAGCCTCACCGACCGTGGGCAATGCCTTGCGTGCCTTTAGCCCTGCACACATCCATGGAGTGGCGCTGCTGTGCGTGTTTTCTGCTTGCACCTGTTCACCATCACACCATCACCCACCACACCCCACACAGTCCATGGAACCAAACGAGACCACCCACAACAGAACCGCCAGTGAGTGCCCGTCACAACGCGCACCCTCTTCCTCCTCTCCACCAACCCTGCGCCAGCCACGCACACGAACAACGCAAGCCACCACCACCCGCTCACACCTCGATTCGCGTTTCGCGTGTCGCCTGTTGCTTGTTTGTGTGTGTTGGTCTTGTTGGTTCGTGTTTGGGCGATTTGTGGAAGATGCCACAAATAATTGCCCACTGCTGTGTTTGTGCGGCAACTGCTGTTTGCTGTTGCTTTTGCTTGTTGAAGGGCGGACTTGGTTGCTTGGTTGCTTGGTTGCTTGGTTGGTTTCAATGAGACAAGAAGGAGAAGGAGGAGGAGGGGAAGGAGGGGGAATAACACTGTAGAGTGTGTGAATGCAACGCAGGCTCACAGGCCTTGCAGGCTGAGGAGGGAAGAAGAGAAGGGGAGAAGAAAGGGGGGATGGAAAAGAAGAAGAACCAAACACACACACACACACACACACACACACACACACACAATTGTGGACTTCCTCCTCCCTCCTTCTCACAGTCACAACAGACAACCAACAGCCACAAAGGGCTGGAACAGACAACAAACAAGGGGAAGGGGGCAACAGCCACCCAGCCAGATCGCCATGGAAGAAAGAGGTGAGGCGACGGAGGGGCGGGGGAAGGAGAACACCGTCCATCAACACACACGCACGCACGCACACACATCTGTTGGGAGCCCCACGTCTTCTGTCCTTGCTTTCCCTCCATCCTTTCCTTGGCCTGGGTTGGGTTGGGTTGGTTGAGGTGGCACAGCTCGCCATGGCGTGTCATGTGTGGATGTGTGGGCATGGGTGTTGGATGTGGATGGGTTCCTCTGTGGTGTGTGTGAAAAGGGGGTGGTGGGAAACAGTGGAATGGATGGCAGTCGCAGAGAGGAGGAGGAGGAAGAAGAAGAAGCAAGGGGTGGATGTGAGCATGCCATGCGTGAATGAGCAACAACAGCGACACATGGGGCGCAATGATGATGGTGTGCTTGGTGTTGTGCGTGTTGTTGTGATGGCACAAGGACACGAAGGACAACCCCAATCACACACACACACACCGTCGTCGATCAACGCATCTGCTTGGCATATGCGCACACGCGCACGCACATCTGCAATCACACACACACACACACACGCACAGTCAGACATGGCATTGCAGAGTGAGACAGCGCACCATGCACACGCATGCACAGCAATGCAACCACAACCACAGCCACCACAACAACAGCATCTCTCCCCTCATCTCCATCCCCCATTTGCACGGTCACATGACCAGGTGCACAGCCGTGGTGGAGATGATGGCCATGATGAACGCGTTCCCCACTTCCCCTCAACCTCTTCCACCAAACACACACGGCATTGCGTGCCCTCACCTCGTTCATCATGTCGCTGTCGGCGTGGTTGATGGCGCTGCGCACACACGCACGCGCACACGCACACATCGCTGTGTGTGTGTTCCCAGTTAAGATGTGCAAGGGGAGAGAGAGAAATGGGCGACACGACACGACGGCCAGTCAACCCCAGCCAATCCAATCCAGCGTCCACCGCCGTGTGTTGCCTGCTGCAGTCATCATCACAACCACAATCACACAATCACAATCACAGGTGTAAGCAAAGGAATGAGCCACTGATATATGTGTCATTGTCATGTGATACCACCACCACACGATTCACGTGCATGTGCACGCGCACCCCCATCCCCAACCAACAGCAGCGCCCTCCTATTACTTCCCTTCCCTCTCCCTCCTTTCGCTCTGCACTCCCACGTCGCACCACCACACCACCATCACCGTGTTACTTCCCCTCCTTCCCCTGCTTGCCCCACTCGACTCAACCCAGCCACCAACCAACCGCCAACGATCATCCTCACCTGTGCTTGATGCAGCCAGCCAGCCGATGGGCCACAGCGAAGCCAAACAAAAAGGAAGCGCAGTCACACGCCACGGCCACCATCGTCACCGCTGATGGAGCAGAAAGAGGAGATGAAGGGGGAAGAGTGGTGGGCACGGGCCGTGTCCTTCCTTGTCCTCATCGGTGCAGCCCCAAACACGGTGCACAGCGCACACGCACAGGCACGGCCATCATCACACCAGCACCAGCAGCAGCAGCGACAGCAAGATGCCTGCCTTCCTGTGAGGCAAAAAGAAACCAACCAGAGACGAACAACAATGACCGGTGGTGGTGAGGACAGGAAAGGAGGGACACAAGGGATCACGCATTAGAATATGCGGCATGTTGTGGGCGGGTGAACCAGATACACACAAGACCAACGAAGCAAGCAACCAAGCGAGCCAGCAGGCAGGCACAAAATATCACCACATCCACTGCATCCACCACTGCAATACCTGTGTTGGCCGCTGTCTCGATCACGCCTCAGCAGCTGCACATCACATGGGGGGAAGGCTGACGATGATGATGACACAGAGCAAAGGCGATTGGTTGGGAAAGGAGGAAGGGGATTCGGTTGGGGAAACCCGCACAACGTCCGCCTGCAGCCACGCACACACACACACATTTGAGTTGTGAGATTGATTCATGTGAGACACACGTCAGTGCAACCACCCCACAGCCAATGACTGCTCTGATGTGTTGGCATGCATGTGTATATGCGTGTGTGTACGTGCGTGCGAATGAGTACTACCACCCCATCACCACACACACACACACACACACACACACACAGCGGCAGCGTCTCACCTTGTGTCTTCTTTTCTCGCACATTTGTGTGTGCGTGTATCGCCCTGCTCGTGTCATGAGGGCTTGGGAAGAGATCGGTCACCGTCCTGAGCAAATCACACACATGCACACATGCGCAAGCGCAAACAACAAATCAGCAAGAAGAACACGACGCAGTGAGCCAGCATGGCAGAAACAAACCACATCCACCTCCTTTGCCACATTCACATCACCCACATCATCACCGGTGCACGCACATTTCACATCCCCACACACAGACACCACACACCACAACCACAAGCAGCACATCTGCACATGCGTGTGCGTGCGCCGTCCACATCCACCACAAACCACTCACCACCATCATCATCGTCGTCATGCGAGGCAACAGCACATCGACGCACAATACACCCTGTACGTGTGAAGAAAGAGGTGAGTTGTCACAGAATGAGGCTGTCAACGACAACCACGCCCATTGCCAGCACCAACAGACCCAACGACATCCAAGCAGCAATTCACAATCACACACATATACATGCTGATGCTCACACCCAACACATCACACACCACCCACATCACCACCACCACCACCATTCATCTCACCTCCACATCTATGGCCGCAGCCGCTGCTGTTGGGGACCAATGACGGCGACGACGAGGAGGAGATGGACAAGATACAGAGGGCCCGTTCATCCAAATGCAGCCACACATCAGCTGTTGTTGCTGCTGCTGGTGGTGGAAACGGTGAAAACAAACGGCCCCTTGCCACGCCGTGTCCTTTGCTTGCTCGCTCGGCTGCTTGGCTGGTCGGTTGGATGGAAGCGGGATGCATGACCCTGTGTCCAAATCAATCGAAAAGGGGGAGAAGAAGAAGAGACACATGAGTGGACAGAACAGAAAAGGAAAGAGGGAAGCGAAGAAGGAAGCACAGCGTGTCAACCACACACACACACATATATATCAGTCGCCCCTCTCACCTTCATCATCGTCATCGTCATCGTCGTTGGTTCCACCGCTTCATGCACCTCCTCAACGCTGTGAACTGTGTGTGTGCACAGACACAAGATGGGAGAGAATGCAGGGTGGTGAGGTTGACAGCAAAGCATCATCAACCACACGCCAGCCCCATCGAACCACGCGCATTCACACACAACCACACGCACACATGTTGTCCCCACCACCACCATGCACACACACACACCTCACTCACCTCTTCATCAGAGCGACTGACATGTGCAATGTCTGCCTCACGCCAGATCAGGGTTAGCGTCGGCCGGCGTGTGATGGCGGCTGTGCGGTCGATGGCGATGATGGGGGTGATGGTGGTGACAGCTGAGCTGTGGTGGAAGAGGAGAGAAAGGAGAGCGAAATGGGGAAGGGTTGATGATGATGTGTCGTTCATGGCGGCTGCTTTCCCCTCCACTGATGTGGCCCTGGTGTCCATGCAACCAACACACAACGACAAGACACAACAACATCAACACACACAAGGCACAGGTATGGCATGTGAGCACAGCAGACGTGTTCACCTTCCTGCCCCCTCCTCTGCTTTCCCCCTCCGCACTGCATGACACACACACACACACACACACACACACACACACATACACACACACCTGCGCATAGCTGCGTCGCTGTGGTTGGATGTGCCCACCATGACCATGGACGTGTGTGTCCACAGCTGCTCCTCCCAATCCATCATGTGTGCACCCGCCCATCATCCTCCAACGATCCTCAGGCAGCCATCCCCTGCATACACACACACACATGACATGTGAGTTGCACAGCGACACTGCTACGAGATACAACAGCAGCAGCAACAACAAGCACACCCAGAGCAGCAACACCAACACATGCGCCATGTGCCAACTAAAACATCCATGATGGGCTCACCTTGCTCACATGTGGGAACACTGCATGAGCACAGCAACGGCAGCCGAATCGGGGGAGTTGCAGCCGCAGCAGCCGGCATGCGAGCCCGCTTCCATCACTACCATCCTGATGTGTGCTGATACCTCACCACCTGTGCATGTGTGCGTGTTTGTGCGTGGTTGCAGGGAACGTGGATGGAACAGAACACAACAGGCACAGAGTAAGCCATCACGTCAGCACAGCAGAACGAGTGACTGACACCACATTCACACGTGTGCGTGTGTGTCGATGTGTGTGTCCATCAACCCCCCCATCAACCCTCGTCCCTTGTTCACTTCATTACACCCCATCACCATCACAGCCCCATCACACAACCAACCAGCCAACCACTCATCACCACCCACATACCATGTGTGAGGCGAGTGCAGCTGGCACGCGTGACAAGTAGCCTCGACATTTCCCTCATCCTGCTGCTTGTGCGTGCGCATCGCCTGTGAGTGTGGTTGTGTGCGAGCACCAGCGTGGTGAGTGAGTGAGGGGCAAGAGGGAGCAGTGACATGTGCGCAGTCACACTGCTACTGCCACTGCTGCAGATGCTTTGCGTGCATGTGTGTGAAGGAGGAGAAAGGGAGGAGAGAGAAAACAGACAACAGAAGGGAAGGAACAAGACATGCTGCATCCCCATCCATCCATCCATCCCTCTTCCTCACACCACCACACACCATCGTCCTCTGCCATCAGCCGGCTAGCCACACCACACCACACCACATTCATCCAGCATCCCCCACCCCACCTCACCTCATCCCATCCATCCATCCAACACACATGTCCTCTCCCTTTCCCCTCTTCTTATCTTCGCCTTCCCTCACACCTCTGCTGCTTCCCGCCGAAAATGCAACTTGTGCTGTCGCCACCTGTTCCCAGCTGCAAACAGCCAGCTTCCAGCAGCAGCAGCAGCAGTGGGCGATGGGTTGGTTGGTTGGGGGATGTGTTCAGCAGCAAGCGGTGGTGGTGGTGCATTCTGTGCTGCTGCTGCATCGGCGGTGGAGGGTGTGTTGGCTGCTGCTGTTGTTGGTCAAGAGGGGCAATGGCTGCCAGAGAGGGCGAGAAAGAGAGGGGAATATAAGCAGCGGCTGCAAGGTGGAATGTGCAGGTGTGCAGGCAGTCGTGTGTGTGAACGAAGAATGAGACGCTGCGTCAAGCAAGGCAAAACAGGCAGCCGCACCACACACATGCATGCACATTGATGTGGGACAACAAGGGGAGACAGGAGCAGCAGAGACAACGATCACAGACACGCACACTGGTGCGGTGCGCAGCATACACACGCATGCGCACGAGCAGTGATGCACTCACGTTGCTCATCGCTTGCTTGTTTGTGGTGTGGTGTGTGTTGGTGTTGCTGTTTCCACAGCCGCATACAGCGTGGCTGGATGATCATCGCATGGCAGCGCCCGTCTGTTCATCCCACCAGAGCAGCGGTGGCTGGTGGAGGGGGGTGACAGCTGGTGGCTAAAGGCCCCGCTGTGCGGCGACAGCAGCAGAAGGCGGGAGAAACAAGGATGAAGGGCAGTGGTATTGGTGTTGGTGTTGAGAGTGGGAAGGGAAGGATGTGAGCAAACACACAAGAAAATGAGGAGGCGGTGATGATGGCGTGTGGGTGGTGGAGAAGAGAACATGCACGTCGACACAGACACACACACACATGCCCACCTGTCTGGGTGATGCAGTGGTTCGATCACCATGCATCCGTCAGCATGTAGTCATTTGTTGGTTGGTTGCTTGGTTGGTGGGGGCTACTCACTGCTTCACGCATCAGCCAGCACCTGCTGCTGCTGCTGATGATGATGATGGAATCAACCCATCTACACGCACCACCACAAACAAACAAGCAAACAACAGCAGCAGTGAGCAGCGTGAAACAGACAGAGAGGAGGAGAAAGGAGGAGAAAGGAGGAGGAGGATGAGAAGGAACGCAACCCCGTGCACACACACACACACATACATTGGCTGTGATGTTGGTTGATGCCATTTCCCCCTCTCTCACATGTGTGTGCTGCTCACTGGTTGAGAGGAAGCATAATCCATTCTCAGGGTCGCCTGCTGTATGACGGTGGCTGATGGCAACTGTTCTGTCACCACACAACGGTGAGCAAGTGAGTGTGTGTGTGTGAGTGTGCATTTGTGAGTGCCACACGCAGTGGTGTGTTGGTTGTGATCCAACCACCCATGCACGGATGGATGATGGTCCACATAAGTGTGTGTGCGTGGCTGTGTGTACACGATGACAGCGTGCGCTGCTGGTGTTGTTGATGGTGGTGGTGTTGGTTGTTGCTGTGCGCTGTGTGCAAGGAGAAGAAGGAGAAGAGGAGGAGCACGGAGTGGGAGGAAGAACTGGGTGCACTCAATCTCACCCTCACCTGTCAATGGATGGGTCATTCATGTGGTCGTTGGTTGGTTGGTTGGTTGGTTGGTTGTGCGTGGTGCATCACAGGAGAAGGAAATGGACAACGATGGAAGGATGGATGGATGAAAGGGAGAAAGGGAGGAGAAGGGGGGAGAGACGGTGCGCACACCCTCCCTGCACATGTGTGTGTGTGAATGCGTCAGCGAGAAGGACGATGAAGGGAAGGAAGGAAGGGAAAGGAAGGAAGGAACGTGGCACGCACAACAACCAATGTGTGTGCGTGTGCACGAACCAATGACACATTCCCTCATCTCACATCACATCACCTCACCTCATCTCACCACACCTCAACTCATCTCACCTGCCTGTCAGCAGCAGCGACGACGACCATGATCACCATCACCATTCCCACCACCATCACACACCATCACACCAGCTGCTGCGCAGAAGAAGAATGAAGCAACGGCGAGTGGATTGTTGGTTGGAAAGTAGAATCGGTTGTTTGCTCGTTTCTGCTTGCTCTGGTTTTTTGGGGTGTGTGTGCGGTTTTCCACTTCCTCCACTTCTTTTCTTGCTGGCTTGCTCTGCCTTGATAAATTGCTTGTTTTGCTCCGCTGTCGGCAACGTTCATACCAACGGGATCACGCCCGCTCTCGTCCGATCGCGGAAGCTAAGCCCGTTTGGGCCCGTTCAGTACTGCCGTGGGTGACCAGGCGGGAATCACGGGTGATGTTGCTCTCCTCCTTTTTTTTTTCTCTCTCTCTCTCCATGTGGCTGGCTGCTGTGGCGCTTGCTGTCTCTCCTTCACTTCCCTCTTCTCCCTTCTCTTGTTGCTTTGGCTTGGTTCGGTTTACCTCTTCTTCTTCTCTTCTTTGCTTGCTTGGCGGGTGAAGAGGCGGCGGCGTGTGTTGGCTCATCTCCCCCTCTCTTGTTTCTCTCTTGTTGCTTGTCTTCAGCGTTGCTTTGCTTCACACACACACACACACACACACACACACACTGCCTGGCTGACATCGTGTCATCTCAACGCGTTTACTTCCATGCACACACATGGCCCCTTCCCCTTAATGCGGAGTAACATGCACAGCACCGAGGCAGTCGGTAACGTTGGCCTCTGGCCAGCAAGATGCGGCCGCTGCTCAGGCGAATGTACCGCCGTTGTATCCCCAGTTGGCACGGGATACGTCCACGAAGTTGATGTAGACCCTGGGTTGGATGGCGTGTCACCACACAAGAGAGGAGGTCAACGCAAGTGGCAGCTGACCAGTGAGCTCGTGGGCCAACTCGCAAGTGTGTTGTCCACTCATTCTCGCAACCTCAACACCAAACACATCGCAGCGTGGCAGCACGGCAACTCACCGATCCGCCTCGATTCTGCCAGTGGGGCAGAGCAGCAGGCGCCGCACACAGCGGAAGTGAAGACAATGTAAGCGTGGGTGCTGATGCACGAACGGACACGCAAACAAACAAACAAACGAACAAACAATCAAACAAACACGCACGCACGCACAAACAAACAAACAAACAAACAAACAAACAACCGAACAAACAAACACACGCACAAACGAACAAACACACACACACACACACACACACACACACACACACAAACACACGCACACACACACACAACGAACCCCAGGTGCTCGGTGAGGAATTTGCAAATCTTGGCCGAGTAGCCTTTGTTCTCATTGTGTCCAATCTTGCCAATCGATGACAGACGAAGGAAGGCTGCGTGCGGTGGTCGGTAGGAGGGTGTGAACAAAAAATGTTGTGGAACTACTGCATCACTGCACGAAAATCTCAAGGAAAGCGACCGCAGGCATCACAACAGACACGAGACAACAATGCCAAAGCAAGAAATCACACACAACAAGCAAACCATACCTGCCGGGGCCGTGGTGCCGCCCATGGCCATTGCCTCATCAAAGGACGTCCTCACCATAATGTACTGCAAAGCAGAGGCGCGATGCAGGGTGAGCACAAACAAACAATCAAAACAAAAGCAAACACTGCAATCCATAGGCAATCACTGCAACACCAACAGAAAGCACACACACAGACACACACACAGACACACACACACACAGACAGACAGACAGACACACACACACACAGAGACACACAGACAGACAGACAGACACACACACACACACAGACACACACACACACACGCACACACGCACACACATACATACACACATACACACACACAGACACACACACACACACACATACACACACACATACACACACACAAACAACCCAACAAACAAACAAGCCAAACCCCCCCCACCCACCCACACATCAGCACCGTCACCACCTGCAGGGGCTTTCCAGTTGCTTCCGCAAGAAGGGCCGAAAGCCCTTCCACGATTGCGGCCACATTCTCTGGCCGGTTCACGTTGGTGTGGAGCTCAAGCAGCGGCATTGGTGCTGATTGCTCGTCGCAGTTGTAGTTGCGTCTTTGCTGTTCTTGCTTCAGCTGCAGTGTGTTTCTTGGCGATTGGTGAATGTTTACCTCAGAATTTCCGCAATCACGCTTGCCAAACCACGCACGGCAACGTCAACCAACCAACCACCCCCTCGCCATGAGTTCACAGGATGTTTCTGCGTTGTTGGGGCAGTACCTGCTCCAGGGCTACTGCATGATGGGCACCCACTGCCCAACCTGCAACGTAAGTGGCAGTGTTGCACATGTGTGTGCCGTGTGCGGGCGCATGTGCGTATGTGTATGCATGTGAGTGTGTGCACATTCACGTGCATGTGCATGTGTTTGGGCGTCGTTCGCGTGTGTGCTTGAGCTGTCAGAACTTGCGAATTCACAAGCGCAACACTTGCCCTGCCACCCCACCCACACACAGACTGTACACATGCGAACCCGTGACAAGTCCAAGACTATTTGTGTCAAGTGTGACGTGATCGACAAGGACAAGAAGAAGCCATCCGAACCGAAGAAGGAGGCAGCCACAGAAGGCAACCAGCCACAGGCACAACAGCAGCCACAGCGTTTACAAGCAGCGGGTGTGTATGCACAAGCAACCGCACACCAACACCTCCTTCTCCTCCTTCTCCTCCTTCTCCTCCTTCTCCTCCTTCTCCTCCTTCTCCTCCTTCTCTTGCTCATGCACTGTGCGCCTCTCACAAGTTAATCTGGTGGAACGTGTTGTTGCTTTGTTTGCTTCAGAGGATGGTGGAACCGGCGATGAGAAGCCAGTCCTGTCTGCAGTACCTCCTGGGCGACAGCCCGACGTTGGTGACGAGGAGGATTTGGCAGACGAGTCGGACGCAAGCGGCTCCGGGATGAACACCAGCCGAGATAGCCGGCGCCGCTCACATGGACGCCACGCGCACCACCCGCATCACCACCACAACAATCACGAACAGCACGAGCAGATGCACCGCCGTGTCAGCAGCGGCGACAGTCCCCATGCGAGCCCCAGCATGCGCGCCAACAACATCTACTCCATGCAGTCGCCGGCCGTATCTGCGGCCCGCCAGCGAACGCTGTCCTCCAGCAGCGCTCGCCGCCGCGCAGTCATGCAGTCGCCCTCCATCCAACGCGCCAGCCAGCTCTCAGACTCGCTCCGCCAGCGCTTTGGGGTGCGTGTGTATATCTGTAAGCTGGTGTGCGTGTGTGTATCTGTAAGCTGGTGTGCGTGCGTGTCTGTTAGTTGGTGTGCGCGTGCTTGTCAAGTGTGCCAAGTTCTCATGTCCTTCCCCTCCCCCACCTCGTTCTCCCTATGACGTGATGTTACTCACTCATTCTTGTCCTCACATGTGCTCCTGTCATCCGCGCGTCAACACCACCTGTTGGCAGGAAGGCCCGTTTGCGGAGAGCCGAAGTGCGGACGTGGCTGCGTCGCAGGGCGCCCCCATGACCTTCCACGCCGAGGTCAACCCCATGTCTCAGGTACAGAGCGAACAGCTGTGCAATGGAGTGGGCAAGTGCGCAGTGCTGCTTGATTGTGCGTGGCTGCTGTGTGCCCAATCTCCCCCATGGCCTACGTGCCTGCGTTGCGGCATTTTTGCATGGTAGCGCTCATCCCAATTCTCTGCGCACACACGCACTCACATTCATCGCACCCCAATTCCGCAGGGGTTTGCTGCGCCATCCGACTTGTTCATGCGTCAGCAGCAGCAACAACAGCAACAACCACACCAGCAACACCATCACCACCACCAGCAGCAGGCGTTTCCGTTCACGTTTGATGCGGCGGCGATGACAGCAGCAGCGGACGGGACGGGCGAGTCCACGGCGATGGACGCGCAGTCCCGTGCTGCCGTCAACCACATGCGGTTCAGGTGCCAGGTCACCATCGAGGCCCTCAACTTCAAGCTGCAGCAGGCGACGGAGCTGCTGGAGCGGGCAAGTTCGTACCAGGAGACACTGGACGTCAGCAACGTCATCGCAGCACTTGGCCACGCGCTGGCGGCCATGAAGGCCCTCCTGCAGCAGTAGCACCGGCACACACACACACACACACACACACACACACACACACACACACACACACACACACACACACACACACACACACACACACACACAGAATGTCGCGATGCGGTCGTTGCTGTGATGCAGCAGTGTTGGCGTTGTGTCTGTGAGCTGTGCATGTGCTGCTCACCTCCCCGTGCACCTGTTTGACTTTTGTGCTCTGCCTGTTGGTTAGTCTTGCCTTGTATTGCTCTGTTGTGGGGCGTGCGCGTGTCTGTGTGCGGACTTGTTGGCCGTGCTTGAAGGCGGGGCAACTGCGGCGAGCAATTGGAATGATCGTGATTGTAATTTTGCTTCGTGTAGACCATTGAAACCAGCAACATGCATTCACACGGCGCTGTTGGAAATAGCACTTGAAGAGGACAAGAGGAGGAGGGGAGGGGGGCATTTTTGAGAGGGGGAAGGGGTTCGGTTGGTGGGCACAAAGGGCGAGCCAACGACGCTATCTTGCGTTTCCCGCAACCTCAGCCTCGATAGCGTTTGACTTTTCGACGATGATGGCAACATCAACATCGCGGGGAAAGTTCTGCAACAGTTTCACGCACGTGGCAAAGTCTCGCTCCTCCAACGTCCCAGATACGTGCTGGCAGCAGAACCGAGGGGGGAGAGGAGGAGCAGACAAGATGCAGGGGGGAGGGGGCACAAAGGGAACAGGCGTGTGAGAAGAGCAGCACGCAGACGCACCACGCACCAGTGAACTCGCAAACAGGTGGTAGCGCTGCAAGGTGTGCACCTGGAGCATGGCGACGCAGAGGCAGAGGAGGCGGTCGAGGATATCGCGCGACGCAAACAGGGAATCCCACAGCCGTATCACATCTGGTTGCACGCGTACACATGCGCAGGGGGGAGGAGGGGAGGAGGAGGGGAGGAGGAGGAGGAGGGAGGGGGGGGGAAGCGTACATGATGCACACGTGAGTCACACGTGTAAGGAGCACGGGAATGTGCCCACAATCAGAAAGAACCCCAGCAAGGGTGTACACACGTGAGCGGTCGCCACCGCTGGCGTCATCTTCGCTGTTACGGCCACCTGCACCTTCCATGCCATCTTCATCGCCTTCACCACCGCCACCGCCACCAACACCGCGTGGCGTGTGCACGCACCAGGCAGGCGGAACTCCTGTGAGAGGAGGAGGGCGATCCAGCGAAAGGCGAAGAAGTGGAGGTCGAGGTTCATGTCGTGCAGCGCCATGTGCACGTGCGGGATGTGGGCCAGCAACATCCCGTCCAGCCGGTTCAGGACTCCCTCTGTCGCGCAGACGATGGAAGGACGAGGACATGCTGAGACTAATTGACAGCAAGACTCGCGCCAGCACGCCACGGCATGTCATCCATGAACACACACACACACACACACGCACACACACACACACACATACACATGCGGACAATCCACGGCTGTTGCGCAAACTCACTGACTCCTGAGTCGGACTTGTCGTTTTCGCGGTCAAAGATGTCTCTGACGTGCGCCATGATGGCGAGGAAGCAGAAGAACGCGTCGGCCTCGCTCCACTCCCGCCACGCAGGATCAGGGTCGCTCGCAAACACATAATACAGCGGGCCAAGGATCTCGTTCATGCCCTGGCGGCGGCAGTGATGGCAGCAGTGGTAATGCAGTGGCGCAATGAGTTGGGAACAGAGCTGGCACACAAAACGACACAATCACATCTGCCCCAGCACACGCACACACACACACACACACACACACACACACACACACACACACACACACACAGACGAGGGTGCACCTGGACGTATGGAATGGCGGTGTTGAGGACCGCGTAGACGAAGAGGATGCGTTCAATGACCTCCCAGTGGCACTCGGCTTCCGGATCGCCCGCAGGCTCAACCGGCGGTGGGGTCGACGCTCTCTTCCTGCTCATGCACATGGTGTGTGTGTGTGTGTGTGTGTGTGTGTGTGTGTGTGTGTGTGTGTGTGTGTGTGTGCGCGTGCGTGTATGTGTGTATGTTTGCGCGTATGGGAAAGTAAGCAAGTGAGTGGCTGGTATGCTTGGGTGAGTGTCATCGGTGTTGGTGTGGAGGACTCACTGTCTGGCTGCAACCACGCCATCCCTGTCTGCCTTGAACGTCGCGGATTCTGCAACCTGCCGCTGCACCCGCAGATGCAAGGGGCTTGGGATGGCTTTAACCGATACGCGTGTCATGCGTGTGTGCAGTGTGGGATATGATGCACATGCGTGTGCAGTGTAAAGTGTAAAGTGTGTGTGTGTATGTGTGAGATGTGATCGACAATGTCATGTGTGCACAACGATGCCATGTGTGATCGACAACGTGATGTGTATGTACGTGCGTGTATGCGTGCGAACACAACAGCCCCTGCACTGGAGCCATAGCAGCAGCACATGCATGGAGACCCCCCTCCTACATTCCTCAGGAACCATGCACGCCTTGCATGCGTACGTCTTGGGCGTCCCGTTTGTGTCTGATAGAAGGCGAGCTCTGGTGTGAGTCGCTTCACGTCCATGTCAATCTGATACAAAATCTCGTTCTCCTTGAAGAATATGTCCCTGCAGGTTCATCATGGCAGCGGCACAGTATGTATGTGCATGTGCATGTGCATGTGTATGTATGTGTGCATGTGTGTGTGTGTGTGTGACAGACAGACAGACAGGGACAGAGACAGAGACGTTGTGTGAGTGGCAGCTAGTGGTATCACCGAGTGACGCATGCACAGCGGCATGCAGCGCATGTCCGGAAACACTTGAGGTACAAAACAACACGCACGATCGCACACAGTGACACACACAGACACACACACACACACACACAGGCACAGGCACACAGACACACGCACGTACGGACCACTTGCTGCTGTTGCTGCCAGACGACGATGGGGAAGAGAGTGCGCCAAGCGGATCAGAATCGTCTTCGTCATCATCGAGATCATGTGATGACTTGACATATGTTGACAGATAGCCCTGATACACCTCCCTGGTGCGGGTGAGCGAAGAAACAAGAGGGTAAGTGTTGATGCCTGCAACAAGTGTGTGCGTGCGTGTGTGTGTGTGTGTGTGTGTGCGTGTGTGCGTGTGTGCGTGTGTGTGCGTGTGTGTGTGTGTGTGCGTGCGTGTGTGTGCGTGTGTGTGTGTGCGTGCGTGTACGTGCGTGTGTGTGTGTGTGTGTGTGTGTGTGCGTGAGAGAATAATGCTCCCTTGTGCTCAGGATTACCTCTGTTTCGCGAGTGATTCCTCCCATCGCGCCTTCTCCGGTGGCAAGTAGCCTAGCAGCAGCTTCCACACCTTTGAGCGCAGCCCTGGTTGGTCAGGAATGCCTGGTGCAGCAGGAGCACAGCAGCACAGTGGGAGATCAGACAGCGTAAAGGGGGGGGGGGATGTGCAAAACAAATCCAAGGCAACAAGGGGCGGAGACAAATACCAATGTACAGAGACAGAAGTAATGTAAATGACGACTAGGGACAGCAGGTAAGCAATCGTGAACGCACCGCCGTGTGCAAATTGCCGGAGAGCGCGCAAGTCAATCACATCCTCGTCCAACAACGCCTCCACCTCCTTCAACCTGCGTGTGCGTGTGTGTGTGAGTCAGTGCGTGTGCATGAGTGTGAGTGAGTGTGTGTGTGTGTGTGTCAAAGTGCAATGGGGCTACTGGAAGCGTTGCTGAGTGCATACAGACAGACAGACAGACAGACACACACACACACACACACAGACACACACACACACACACACACACACACACACACACACACACACACACACACACACACACACACACACACACACACACACA